AGACATTTTAAATCCTGGATCCAGTTTTGACAGATTTAATGTTAGTTATGCTCTCCATATCTTAGTTTTCCCCAAGGGTAAGTGACTATTACTGCTCATGAGTACTAGTATGTAATGAGTACTACCATTCATAACTATTTGGGAAGCTTTAGAGCATAAAATGCTTAATAGTGGGGGGTTTTTTAATGCTTTGTTCTTCACAAAGAACACTTTCTAAATTCAAATTGGTAACTGAATTTTTTATAAGAAAGGAAAATTATACGCAAGTAACAACTTGATTTTTTTTTTTTTAAAGATTTTATTTATTTATTTGACAGAGAGAGACACAGCGAGAGAGAGAGCACAAGCAGGGGGAGTGGGAGAGGGAGAAGCAGGCTTCCCGCCGAGCAGGGAGCCCGATGCGGGGCTCGACCCCAGGACCCTGGGATCATGACCTGAGCCGAAGGCAGACGCTTAACCATCTGAGCCACCCAGGCACCCCAACAACTTCTTAAATTTAAGAACAGCTCCTTAAATAGTAAAAGATGTAAAAATGAACTTCGAGAAGATGGAAGTACTACTGTTAAAGGTTAAATACCAGTTTTTCTATTTTTAAATAGTAAAACATACATAAAATTTACCATTTTAACCGTTTTAAGTGTAAAGTGGTACTAAGCACACTTACAACCATCACCACCATCCTCAATGTTTTTAAAACAAAGTCGTTTCCTTTAAAACAGGAAAATCAGCAACACCTGCAGACTGAAGAGTGTACAATCTGGTTTAAAAGAAGTTCCACTACCTGATTTGCTCTCCTGCTCCAACACACATCCTGTAGGTAGCTAAAAGCAACATATACCCAATGTAACTAATGTTCTATTTGAAAGCTTGCTAGTGATTTCCATATTGAGCTGCTCTGGCCACAGCTGGACACAATTCCACATTTGCCCTCCATTTATCCCTTGGGGTATTATGGGCTTAAGTGTTTTTCTGGGGGGTGTGGACTGAGCCCAATTCGTCTTCTTGGAGCTCACCATCATTGGTTCACATCTTCCAGAATATAGACAATATCATTTTATACATTTTCCTGGTCCATAAATATTCCCTAAAATATTTGTGGGACCTTTCTTCCCATGACCATTTATTTTATTTTATTATTTAAATTCAATTAGCCAACATATAGTATATATTTAGTTTCAGATATAGTGTTCACTAATTTATCAGTTGTGTAGTATAACATCCAGTGCTCGTCACATTTATTTTCTATACCAAACCTTTTGGAGGGCTAGTTTTTTCCTACTATGTGATTCTCTTAAATTAGTTCATCCTAAGTCGTTTATTATTTTTTACCCAGAGAATCACAGGTAGATTTCTTATGGTAGTTACTAAATCTGTACTACACATTTTGGTCACTTGGTTATGTTCACTTTCATCCTTTATAAAATATTACCTTAAATTCTTCTCCCTCCCTCCCTCTGTGCACACATCTCATTTACACAAAGCATTTCAGCTTACTGGAGATAATGATCAAATTGATTATTTTTTTTTACTAACTCCTCCCCATCACCTCCCTAATCTCCATTCCCAGTTGTCTGTAACAGACTCTACTGTGAAGTTTTCTAAAATCTCCCAGAAAGAATGAATTTATCCCCGTAATCTTTACTACCAGTGTAATTCCTTCACTTACTGCCTTCCCAGTGGTTTACCAGTCTGCATATCTTACCCTCACAGGTTGTTGTTTGTTGAGAGGCAAGGACTCGGTCATTTTTATGTATCTAGCATTTAAGAAGGTACTGGCATACAGTAGATATCAAAAAATGCTTTTTCCTCACCTACCACATTTTATAGAATTCCATCTAGAACTACAGACCTCCTTCCGCTCCCTCTGAAGGGATCATCCAGGACCCAAATCAGGTAGCATTTCCTCAGACATAAGAGAAGCAGAAGTACTGCTTTCAGAGAAGAGAGCTTGGAAATCTTACCACTTATATGTAATTTAGGTTCAAGTATTCATTTGAAGCACTAGATGCTGTAACCACTAAAAAGCATGATTAGGAACTCGAACTTGAGAGATACACCAGGAGAGGGTTAGATTAGAGTCAGAGGGCCACATCACTTTTGTGATTAATATTCACAATGCTATTCCTACTCATGTTTAAACAAAGAATATGAAAAAGATTTAAGCTTTTTCATGGGAGAATACAAATGTAATAGTATTCCCATTCCCTATTGTTTAGCGACCTCAAGCAACTTCCACTAATGGGTTTCTCCTGTTAAACACTTCAGATACCTTTTTTTTCCACCTCTGAAACAAAACAATACTGCTTGTAACTTTGTTACTAAGTGAGAAAATGAAGAAATAAAAGCACAGGGTCACCTCCATGTGCATGTCAGGTAATAAAGCTCTCACCAGTAGTATGGCAATCACTTAACTTCTCTGACATTTCGTTTACTGCCCCATAAAACAAGACTGTAAGATTTTTGAGGTATGTATTTCTATAAATCTATACATAACTGGAAATTCTCATGTGCAGTTTCAAAACTCTTATGGATTAAGAAACTCTTTAGAAAAACAAGACGAAAACAGAGAGAGAGAGACAAACTGTAAGACTCAGCTCTAGGAAACACACTGAGAGTTGCTGGAGGGGAGATGGGTAGGGAGACGGGGTAACTGGGTGATGGGCATTAAGGAGGGCACTTGATGAAACGAGCACTGGGTGTTATATGCAACTGATGAATCACTAAATTCTACCTCCATATACCATGTTAATTAAATTGAATTTAAATAAAAAATTTAAAAAATTCTTTAATAAAAATTCTAAATGTAATGCATATTCATTAAAGAGTGTAAAATGATGCTGAAAGAAGAAAAAAGGAACTCATAACTGCTTTACCCATTGGTTTTATTGTAAGGGTTCTAAAGCAGCTTAAAAAATTGATAGATTTTTAAGAAAGAAGCTATTAGAATGTCACTGGTCTGGATCTCAATTTTATTTCCAATAGCAGGGTCATTAATTATTTTCCCCTCTCTCTCTAGCTTATTTTCTGTATATTCCAAAGAAGTTCAGTAAGCATCAGGGTTCTGAGCACACCATCAGGTACAGGTTTATGTACGTACACTCTTCTCTAGATCTTATGGGATCTACTGTATAATCTAAAAAAATTATGTATAGTTCTTCATTGCTTAAGCTCTAAAGAATAAAATGCAAACCCTTTGATCTGGCATTAAAAAACACTCAACTGGCAAAATCTGATCCCAGCCATCCTTTCTAGATTCACTATCCTCCATTCCAAATACTCTATAGTTACAGAGCTTGTTTTGAATCTGCTCACACTAGTTTAAGACTCAGCTAGAGGGCCAGCTCCCTGAGGCTGGGCCTTGGACACTCCTAATCCTGCAGCACCTACTGGTCATTTTAGCTAGGCTGGCCAAGCACCTCTTACCTTGACACAATCTAGACAAGAGTGAGGATTCAAAATTCTAATGGGAGTGGTTCCAATTCCAGGTAAGATGGAATGAGCACACTCCACCCTGTGTCTCCCACTGAATGCATCTATAAAACATAACACATAGATCAGCTATTTGAGGACTTGAAAAAGAAATAGTAGCAGGCAAGAAGACCAGCAGAAGACCACCAGAATTCAAAGTACCACTGAACCAGTGTAAGTTTACATTCTGGATTTTTATCCCGGACATTGTGGATGGTATTTTGTATATACTCTGAATTGTTTTAATCCTTACAAAAAAAAAAAAATTTTAGTAGGCAGTTAATTTTTTTAGACTTGTGTTACAGGCTTTGTCTCATTTTTTTGTGGGTGGCCATCAAATCTCAGTTCATTTCTTTAAGCCTCTGAGTTTGTCTTGTGCATGTGGGGTCAGGAGCTAGCTCAAGGCTTCACATACAGAAGTAGAAACATCCTTTTTATGGCTCTCTCCCTTCCAGGATTCCCCCTCACTTTCCAGGTATGGCTGCTACATGCTTTTTACCTCTGGTTCTTCCAGCCAGAAAAATGATGGCAGGATTTCTGTTACAGTTTTAGCTGCTCATGCACTTTGTGACTGTGACCCACTGTCTAGGTCAAGACACACACACACACACGCACACATGCACTCACCCATGTGCTAATTGCTTCTTTGGATTTTGACTTCCCTCCACAAGGGTCTGCATTTACTTACTCTTCAGAATCCTCACACAGTTGTTTATATTTTGCTCAAAATTTCTAATTATCAGGATGAGACTGTTTATAGAAATCTTCTAACATAACTATTTTGTTTGAAACATAAAAATGTATTGCCCGTGTAAAAAATTACAATATAATTTAAATCAATATCTGGCAATAGCTTCTTAAACTGGGTAGTTTTGACATGAATGTGTTTTATAATTACTTTGTATGTTTTATATCTTTTGTCTGCATAATACACTTGACAATTTTCTAAAAATGAGGTCCTTTGGTCCTTCATAACCAAAACTTAAGCTCCTCACTTAACATTCATCCTGTGGAGGGGCACCTGGGTGGGTCATTTGGTTAAGTGTCTGACACTCAGTATCAGCTCAGGTCATGATCTCAGGGTCATGAGATTGAGAGCCACACTGGGCTCTGGGCTGAGCGTGGAGTCGGCTTGAGATCCGGCCCTCTTGCATGTGCCTGCTCTAGATCACACTCTTAAAAAAAAATTTTTACCCTGTAGATAATACTGTTATGAAAATAGCATATTTGTAGTATTTCAATAATATCTGAATGGCTAAAATTTAATAAAAAGATAATCCCATCAACTGTAAAAGTGAGTACATTCTAAGAACATAAAGTCTCACATGGGCAAGGATAACTTAGTTTCAAAGCCGGTTCAAGCAGGCAAACAATCCCCTGCACTATTTCATGGTAGCAGAGCCCACACCTTTGAACAGAGATCTTCATTCAAATCATAACTCTACCTCTTACTAATGCGTGACCTTGGGTAAGTTACCTCAGCTTTCCAAGAGTGCTTCCTTATTGTAAGATGGACAAAATATAGTACCTACCTCTCAGGATACTGGGTGAAGTAAGCAATGAATGAAGAGCATTCAGCACACAGTGCTAGGTACCTATAAAATGTTCAATGAAAGTTTGCTGTTATTAGTAGCAATAGTGAGATTTTCTTCTGAATCCCACAGGATTTCCACGACTTATTTATTCAATTACTAATCTTCACTTGATGTACTTCCACAAAAACAATTTGAGTTCATGTTCCTTCACTGCCAGGAAATGAACAACTTTCTACAGTTTAAAATTCAACGTAATACTAAAAAGGTAAGTTTTAGTTGAATGCACCCTCTAGTGGTATACATTATGTGCAAGTACCTGGCTTCTACAAAAGAAAACCTTTATGAAATGTCCCTAGGTTGGTGCTTAGAACCTGAAGCCAACTGGTTGAGAACATAGTATGAAGTGGATAACCATACAACGTTTAGGAAGCTCCCTCTCTTCAAGAGCTGGAGGAATTTTTTTATCTTTTACAACTTCCCCCACCATAAGACCGAAGATATTTGAGATATTCACCATACCAAATCCCATTATTCCTACAGCATTGACTTTAATCTTTCCTCCTAAAGAAAATCAGGTCACTTCCTAGTTTGCTTTAACAAGCATTGCAATGTACTTACTCCTCATTTAACAAAAACATACTGAGTACCAACTATATAAGAGGCAACAGGAATGCAATAAACAACTTATTACACAATTCATTATTTGGGTGGCAGGGGAGGGGAATAGGAAAGCTTACTTAAGAATAAAATGTGAAAAGCCTTTAAGGGTAAATACCTTAGCTGAAAGAAGAAAGACTGCGGTGCAAAGACAACAGCTATAAAGGCCTGAAGATAGCGAGGTACACGCAGCATTTGAGAAACTGAGGAAAGTCTCCTGGTCAAAAAAGGGGAGATTGCGCAGGGTGAGACTAGTGAAGTAGGGAGGTATTTAATACCAAGTTGAGTTTGAAGTTCATCTTAAGAACAATGGGAGGGGTGCCTGGGTGGCTCAGTGTGTTAATCGTCTGACTTTTGATTTCAACTTAGGCCATGACCTCAGGGTCATAAGATTGAGCCCTGTGTGGGACTCCACGTTGGGCATGGAGCCTGCTTAAGACCCTCTATCCCTCTGTCCCTCTTCCCCCCCACCCCCACCCCGATGTGTGCTCCTTCTAAAATAAAAAAAGATGTTTAAAAAAAGAAGAAAAAGAGCAATGGGAAACTATGGAAGGGATTAAAGTAGAAGGGTAACAATTTGATTTTTTTTTTTTTTTTTTTTTAAGATTTACTTACTGATTTGCTCAGGAGTGGGAGGGGCAGAGGCAGAGAGAAAATCTCAAGCTGACTCCTTGCTGTGCGTGGAGCCAGACAGGGCTCAGGACTGGATCCCAGGACCCTGAGATCTTGACCTGAGCAGAAAGCGAAGAGTCCGCGCTTAACAACGGCAACACCCAGGCGCCCCTAATTTACACTTTCAAAAGTTCACTTCGCTAAGGCATGGAAATGGATGAGGGAGTGGCGTAAAAAGTAGATGCCCAGACCAGCTGCCAGTAATCCAGGTGAGATGGGATGAAACCTGAGACAGAGGTAGCAGTGGAGATAAAGTGGAAAGATAGTTAAGGGGCAAGATGGCTTGACCATAATGATGGTAATGAAGTAGCGACCTTGGTGAACTGAGTGATGTGATAATGCCTTTTGTCCCCACTAAGTACAACTGGTGGGGGTAGCTGTTTGAAGAAGATTGAGATAATGAATTAAATGAGGGTTTTCGTCTTAAAAAGACAACATTCTTTGGCCACAAAGTATAATTACTTCAATTGAAGGCTTAACCAGCATTGGGCAGGAGGATCACGAGGCACCAACTCTCCACCCAATAGGGCCCTAAATGTCTTTTTTTAGATTTCTAGGAGAAAGACCCACTACTACTGCGCCAAGACTTTTACCTTACATCTACCTGGAAAGCCCTTAACTCATTCCCGCCCCAAATTTGATAGATTTTTGTTTTTAGAAGTACAGTTCAAAGGTCACCTTCTCAAATCTTTCCAGTGTTTCCCACACCCCCATCCTGCCGTACAACTCTTCCACTACACTGTGGGTTCCAGACAGCACGGATTAAGCACTCTTCATCTCTGTGTCCCCGTTGTGCAGCACTGCACCCTTCAAACGCTAGGCGCTCCACAAATACTCAGCCGCATTTACCGGCGCAGGGCAATACTCTAGCTTACGCCTCCGACACCAGCTTTGCCTGCCGGAAGTGACGCGCTGTCGGGGACAACGTATTTCCGGTCCCGAGTGCCGACTCGGTCGCCGGGGGCCGGGCTTCTCTGGCTCGCTAACTCAACTGCCGTGGAGGATTCGTGCGCGGTAAGCGGTTACGAACGGCTAAGCGAGATAGGACCCTGGGACCCCCAGATGCTGTACAGTCCTCCCGTTCGTTCGCAGGGACCTGGCGGGAAGGCACAGCGACTGACTGGTAGGCCCCCAACAGCTCTCAGCGCCAGATGGGGCTGGAGTGCCGGGATGCGAGGCCCGCCGAGGGCGCCGTCGCGGGGACCGGTCTCAGCTGTCGGGTGCTCGCCGCCTGGGCTGGCGCATCCAGCCCCACTGGGACCCGCCGTGGGAGTGGGCTCCGTCGACTAGATCTTGATACTCAGAGCTTCCCCCTTCCCTGGTACTCAGCGGAAGGACAATCCACCTCTTGAACAGCTCCAGGCCCTACCGTGACAGTCGCAGGATCTGCAGTGATGAGTGTGCGCGCGTGGTGTAGAAGTGCTGGGTCGCGTCTCACCTATTCATTGGCTCCGCCCTTCAGCGTGTGTTGCAGGATGTTTCTAACGATGAGAGCTGAGGTTTTAACCCTGGTTGGTACACGGGATGCCTCCCTAAAGGGGGCGCGGCTTCATAATTGCAAATGATTTGAAACCACTGGGCTGGTAGTAGTTTATACTGATTAGTAGAAGACCCAGCATTATCACGTGACCGTAAACACTTGTGTATATTTCACTTATCAGTCTGCCGGGAAGAGTTGTAATGACAAACTTTGCGTCAAAGGACAGGATTTCTGAATAGTTAATTTGCTATGCAAATTGTTTTCACTGAACTAAGCAAGAAGATGGGAAGAAAGTAGCCTTGGGATTTACAGATATGAAACAGCCAGGAAAACTGCAGAATATGGGAAGAGTAACTTCATTCACTGTATTACTTTGTGATTCAAATTTTACAAAGTAATTTGGTTACTTCATGAATTGTTTTACACTTTTAAGCATTTATATACGTGTTGTTTTTGTTTTACTGGTGTGGTAGCTTTTCTGGTAAGGGCTAGATTTATAGGCATATCTATGCAGCATATTATAGAATTAAATATACAAATACCTAAATGATGGGGCGCCTGGGTGGCTCAGTTGGTTAAGCGACTGCCTTCGGCTCAGGTCATGATCCTGGAGTCCCGGGATCGAGTCCCGCATCGGGCTCCCTGCTCAGCAGGGAGTCTGCTTCTCCCTCTGACCCTCCCCCCTCTCATGCTCTCTCTCTCTATCTCATTCTCTCTCTCTCAAATAAATAAATAAAATCTTAAATAAAAAAAACAAATACCTAAATGATGTAAAAAGTGTTTTAATAATTAAGACTTTAATATATGGGCATAATGTGATACAGTGTGTATCTTTAGTGTTTGTTTTTTTTTAATGGTCACTAACCAGCCATGCTTGTCTTAAAGCTTTATAAGATACTGCTGATGAAATCATGACCAGGTGGGCACGAGTTACTACCGCACATAACAAGAGACCTTTGACTGCAACATCATGGGAGGACATGAAGAAGGGGTCCTTTGAGGGAGAAGGTCAAAATCTATCAAAGAGTAAACAACTTGAAGCCAAAAGGCTCTCTGTTAGAAATGATGCTCCTCAAGCAAAACACAAAAAGAACAAAAAGAAAAAGGAGTACTTAAATGAAGATGTAAATGGATTCATGGAATACCTAAGACAAAACTCACAGATGGTTCATAATGGAGAGATGATAGCAACAGACAGTCAGGAGGTAAGGGAAGAAATTGCAGTTGCTTTGAAGAAAGATAGTCGACGGGAAGGAAGAAGATTAAAAAGACAAGCAGCAAAGAAAAATGCAATGGTAAGATCATTACTTCTACCGAAACGTTACTTTATATAGGTCATAACTATTATTCATATACTCACACATGTATATTCTAGCAGAGTCTGAATGCTCTTGCATACTAGATTTATAAAGCATCTTTTTGAGGGCTAATAATAACATTAGGACTTTTTTTTAGCACTTCCTATATGCTAGGCACTTGATGTACTAATTATCACAATAACACTGTAAAGATGGTAGCATTATTCTCCTATGGGGAGAAAAGACTGAGGTGTAGACAGGGTACCTTGCTGATAGCCCCTCAGCGAGTATAGTAGCAGAGATGAAATTCAAACCCAGAGTTTGTCTGACTTCAGAACCTGTGTTCTTAGTCCTGCCTTCCAATAGCTTCTTTTCAAACAGCCATTTAAAAAAAAAAAAAAATCAAAGTGAGGAGGAGGGTTAAGTGCAACAGGTTAAATATGTCTGGTTCCCTTGGAGAGGATATTTTGTTTTTATTCATGAAAAACTGAGGCACAGGAATGAGATCTAGTAAGAATCACACTAGTTAGTAACAGAGCAGAGTAATAAGAGTTAAAACCCCTTGGGTTTGTCCTTCCCACCTCCATACTACTCTCAGAGGAATGTTAGGGCTTCAAGTTGATTTCTATGCCTAGCACTAGATTTTTAAACTGTCAGACATAGGAAATGTAATACTTCGTATAATTCTTTCCCTTCTCTAAGTGAATTTTCCAAGTCTTCTAGTAAGATACATAAAAATCAGTATTATCATTTTACACCTTCATTTTTATTTGCAAGATTAGTTTTATACATATTTGCAGATAATTATTTAGAGATAATGCTGATCAAACATTCCTTATGGATAAATTTGGATAGAAAAGGTAATCATTTTTATTTGGATCAGGATAGTTTTGTTTAAATTGTACAATTATTTAAAAATATTTTTTTTATCTGGGCGCCTGGGTTGCTCAGTCAGTTAAGCATCCGACTCTTGTGAGGCTCAGGTCATGATCTCAGGGTTGTGCGATTGAGCCCTGCATTAGGCTCTATGCTCACTGAGGAGTCTGCTTGTCCCTCTCCCTCTGCTTCTCCTCCCGCTCATGTGTGCTCACACTCTCTCTCTCTTTCTCTCTCTCAAATAAATAAAATCTTAAAAAAAAATTTATGTTCATTTAACTCAAAGGTAATGTAACTTAAAGATAATTTCACTGACATAGGCAATATGATGAGTTGCATATTATTTGAAAAAAATTAATACTGTGACCTTTTAAGAGTTTTGTATTTGTAATTAAAGGAGAAAGACATTGGTTTTCAAGAAAAAAAATGAATGCTTTATATTAAAGCATATACTTTAAATAGTATATAGCTTGTTTTCTCGTTTTTAATACCTCATTCTAAGTATCAGTTTTTTTTTAAGTTTTTATTTATTTGACAGAGAGAGACACAGCAAGAGAGGGAACACAAGCAGGGGAGTGGGAGAGGGAGAAGCAGGCTCCCCACAGAGCAGGGAGCCCGATGTGGGGCTCGATCCCAGGACCCTGGGATCATGACCTGAGCCGAAGGCAGACGCTTAACGACTGAGCCACCCAGGCGCCCCTAAGTTTCAGTTCTTAATTGCTAACAAATGAAGATAATTTATGAAGTCCCATCTACATGAAGATCAGGTTTTAAAGGTAAAAACCTGGGGTGCCTGGGTGGCTCAGTCAGTTAAGTGTCTGACCAGCTCTGGTGATGATCACAGGGTCCTGGGATGCAGCCCGCCTCTAGCCCCACCTCAAGCCCCCTCCCATGGACCACCCCCACCCCAGCCCAGTGTAGGGCTCTGCGCTTAGCAGGGAGTCTGCTTGTCCCTCTTCCTCTCCTCTGCCCCCCACCTTGTGCACACCCTCTAGCGAATAAATAAATAAAATCTTTAAAAAAAAAAAACAACATGTAAAACCTAGTCAGTGAACTGTCAGGTTACTAGAGACCATGCTGACTTCACCAAGACTTCAAGTCTTATTATGGTGATCCAGTTTTTAGCCATAGCTTTTCTTGAACTTGTATAATAACTGCATTTTCTTTGTTTGGACCAGCTCATTCTAAATGTACAAGTTAGTGAATATTAAAGGGACTCATTCTTTTCCAGTATGTTATGAAACAGGAGAAAAAGAAAGTGAGGTCACAGTTGCAAAATATTGTATGTTTGTTTTTTTTTTTTTAAGATTTTATTTATTTGACAGAGAGCGAGAGCAAGAACACAAGCAGGGGGGAGTGGGAGAGGGAGAAGCAGGCTTCCTGCTGAGCAGGGAGCCCGATGTGGGGCTGGATCCCAGGACCCTGGGATCATGACCTGAGCCGAAGGCAGACGCTTAATGACTGAGCCACCCAGGCGCCCCAAAATATTGTGTTTTGTCTGTTTAATTTGCTTTTTAAAAATCCCGTGCTTATTTTGAAAAAAAATTTTCAAAAAAATTTTTGAAAAAACTATTTGTTATCCAAGAAATATATATACCTTTTTCAGTTTAAATAAAATAGCTAAATATCTTCGAGTATCTACCATGTTTGATTATGACTACTGTTCTCATTCATTGCAGCGATAACTATTCTCCTTGCCAGGTAGTATGTAAAGCAACCAAATCATTGTTGAGTGTGATGTTGGAGCCAAATATTTCATCTTAGAATTATTCCTTTAAAATGTGTTGTGTACATATTCTAAAAATGAAACACCTAATTCTGAATATTAAGGAATATGTATTAAAGATATAAAAACTGTAAGATACATTATTGGTATGAAATATAATTTGAGTCATAACTTAAATGGATCATTTGACTCAAATTTATTCAAATATATGAACTTTTTAAGTACTAGTATTAATTATGACCAATAATTTTTGGTCATTTTCTGTTTTCCACAGAAAACTCAGTTTTTCTAGTGGAGATATTCCCATTAATGAAATAAATAGTCCATATTTGCTTAATTCATTTAAGCAGTTTCTACGAAACCATTTTTAACTTTGTGTCTGAGATTGATGGATTTATGGATTGAGGGTTTTCAAAAGCACTGAGACTGTCTGATGGAGATGACATTTTTTATTGTTTAGGAATGTATGAGACAACTTTTTTCTATAGATAAAATATTGAGATTTTTTTAAAAAGAGCTAGATAACAAATGGGAGACGTTTTAAAGATATTTTTGATAACAAGAATTAATAAAGCCAATGTAGTTTTGTAATTTGGAAACTCACATTTTGTTTCCCCAGGTATGTTTCCATTGTAGAAAACCTGGCCATGGGATTGCAGATTGCCCAGCTGCCCTTGAGAATCAAGATATGGGCACTGGAATATGTTATCGGTGTGGGTCCACAGAGCATGAAATAACCAAGTGCAAAGCCAAAGTAGACCCAGCTCTTGGTATGTTTTCTTTCTATTGGTTTTTTATTTGGTTAATGTCGGAAGTGGGGTTTTTTTTGGACAGCTGAGTTTGTCATGAACATGGCACTTAATATTTTGAAATCAAGGTTTTGAAAAAATAAGGGTTTTTTTCCCCCAGAGTGTTTAAAGTAATATGAATTATGTAACTTGTTCTGTACTTAGCCAACTTACCAGGAACTGTTGATCCTTACAGGTGAATTTCCTTTTGCAAAATGTTTTGTTTGTGGGGAAATGGGGCATCTGTCCAGATCATGTCCTGATAATCCCAAAGGACTCTATGCTGATGGTGAGTACTGTTACCCTTACATGTCAAAAAAGGTGAGTTATCATGCAGAGTTGTGATTTATTTTATTTTTTTATTTTTTAATTTTTTAAAGATTTTATTTATTTGACAGAGAGAAACATAGCGAGAGAGGGAACACAAGCAGGGGGAGTAGGAGAGGGAGAAGCAGGCTTCCCGCTGAGCAGGGAGCCCGATGCGGGGCTCGATCCCAGGACCCTGGGACCATGACCTGAGCCGAAGGCAGACGCTTAACGACTGAGCCACCCAGGCGCCCCGCAGAGTTGTGATTTAACTTAGACTCTTAATCAGCTCTTCAGTAAATTCTTGAACAAATAAAAACACCTTAAGAATTTCAATTTTTATCAAACTCTATTCTATGTACTGGACTTTATGTGTAATATGACGATATATTAATTAAGTCAGAAAAAACTAAAGTGTATATTTCAAGCTTTGTGCTTGTTTCAGCATCATTTGTGAGAGTATGTTATAAATATCTACTTTTAGGGCGCCTGGGTGGCTCAGTCAGTTAAGTGCCTGCCTTTGGCTCAGATCATGATCCTAGGGTCCTGGGATCGAGTCCCACATCTGGCTCCCTGCTCCGCGGGGAGCCTGCTTCTCCCTCTTCCTGCCCCCTGCCCCTGCTCATGCCCTCTTTCTCTCTCCTAAAAAAAGAAAAAGAAAATAAATATCTATTTTTAAAAACAACAGAAGCAAAGGGGTTATATCTCAAGCTAAGATTTAAAAAATAGTGTTGTGAATTTAATCACAGGCTAGCATACCATTTTGGATAGACGGGCTGGTACACTCTTCAATATGTGTAGTAATCTTTGTTTCTGAATTCCTTGGTTAATAGTCTAGCATGGGATCATGTAACTTTCTTGTCTTTAGCTCAACTAACATCTTAAGCTCCTTAAATAAAGTCTGTGATGTCTAAAGCTTAAAGGAGGAAATTTTCTGTTACTGTAAGGTGTTTATGTGATAGCTGGTTCCATCAGGTTCCAGACACCTCTTGGGTGTCACGTCCTGGGTTCCATGGAAGAAGTCCAGTGAAAAGGTGTAGCTTTTGGAATCAAGCCGACTGGTTATAGCTCCAGTACCACCACTCACTAGGGTGACTTTGGCTGAGTTATTTAATTTCTCTCAGCTCAGCTTCCTCGCCTGTTAAATGGAGATGAAAAACTGTATTTCCTTGATTCTAAGATGTACATTTTTTCACATTTTAATGTCTCTGAACTCAAAATGTATCTTACCAGTGGTGAGTGCCACGTAATTGGCAGGTTTTTTTTTTTTTCTGAGAGGTATGTAAATAATGATACATCTTATAATCAGTGGTGTCTTAGATTTGATGAATTATGGTATCCACCTTGAAGAGCTTTGAGAATTAAAATAGATTGTTCAGAGTGCTTCTCCTATTTCACTCTGGCATCTACAACAGTAAAGAAGCTGGCCCTGGAAAATGCCCAAAGGTGCCTCTCAGCTTTGAACTTATGACATAGGTCAGATGACATGACTGAAGGACAAAGATGGCTTTGCATGGTTATGCAAAATGACTACATATTTTTGAAAAATGCAGCAAAGGAAAAAAATCACATAGAAGTGAGAATTCAGCCAGGTTTATATCCTATAGGGTCGTATTTCTGGGTAAGTCACTTCACATTATGAGCATGTCACGATAATGCTTGACCATTAAGTAATAGTGTTTGACCATTAAGGGAAAGACTAATTTTAGAAACGACGTGTGTTTTAATTCATGGTCCTGGAATGTTGCTTAAAGTAGGCAGACAGGCATTTTTATTAGGGTTAGGGTGCCTGGCAGATAGAAGGCACTAGAATGAAAGTGAATTTCATTCCTTTTGTCACGGCTCACCCCCATCTGACCTGTACAGATGAGCAGTGGGGCAATGGCTCCTAATCTTTTTTGGGGTTGTTGATCATTTGATAAGAACTATGGACGTCCTCCTCCAAAAATGCATCTGAACACCACTTTTGCTTACAGGTTCAACAGTTCACACATCTTTGCCTCTCTAACCATGGTTAAGGTCTTCTGTGCAGTGGCTCTTGGACACTCCAGAACACAAGTACCTTCTTCCGTTATAGCTCTCCTCTCTTTCCCTCTTCTCCCCTGAAGGCCAGGTACAAGACATGCTGTGTAGGGACAGTTTAGTGCTCTGTGGGATCCAAAAGCCTGCCTGGGGAGTGGACTTACTAATAGGAATGGTGGCACCTACCTATGTTCCTGTTTCCACCTCCCTGTGCACCTGACAAGGCTGTGAGGACCAAGGAAGATAAGAAAAGTGCTTTGAGACATTACAATGCCTTGTAAGTATGAGAGGTTTTCAGTGACTTTGCTCTTTTAATAGGTGGTTGCTGCAGACTCTGTGGCTCCGTGGAACATTTTAAGAAAGATTGCCCTGAGAGTCAGAATTCAGGTGAGTTCTCTGGGCCTCCATTTAGAAGGCCTGAGGTGATTATTCTGTGTTTCTGCTGAATTTTGTTACTACTAACTCACTGAGGTACCGCTGATTTTAAGGCAGCCTGGTTTCCTACTGCAATGACAACCTAATCATTTCTCTGTCAGGAGTAGATGCAGTAGTAACTGAGCATTAGTAGCTGGTACTATCAGGTGGGGAAAAGGTGACCACTAAGCCCTAGAGGGCCCTGATTTTATAAAGCATCTTATACACATTCTTATTTGCCAACTAATGAATTTAACAATAGAGCCAATTCTGTTACTAACAGAAAAATATTGATTCATTAAGAGAAAATAGTATGAAAATAACTCAATATTTTTATGATTGAGCATTCTCACATATGGTTTGCTTTATCTATACCTAAAGGATTCAGAATTGGTTGCAAGAACTTCCAAAAATACTAAAATTGTGTTAGCTACACATCAGCTGGCCAGTTGTATTTTCTTCCTAATGAAATACTACCGTTGGTCATCAAAAACTTCAAAAATGTTCACTATACCTATGTGAGGGAAGTGGAGACCATTATTATATTAGTTTACCTGGATTGGAATGATGATAATCTTGAGTGAAAGAAAGACAGGAGGGTAGAAGTAGTGCTTCTTAGGGAAAAAGCACATTTCTTTTTCTCTCAAATAGTCACAGTACGACACAAAGAAGTCTGCCCATTCTTACTTCCTACCCGAACATTTCCCTTTGAAAACCCAGAGTTCTTGTTTATGCTCTTATCTAGATTGTAGGCAGTGAGACTGAAATGATGGAAGTGGAATTTGAATTCTCCCTCCTGGGAGGATTGCCACTTCCCGAATGACAAGACTGAAAAGCAGATGTTGTATAATTTCACAGGTGGAATCTTGTGCATTTAAAACCGATGCCTCATAAGTCCTACTGTTTATAGATTCTTGGAATTCATTGACTCTATAATGATGAACTCTGGGAAAGAATGAAAGAGCTTTCTCATCAGTTTGTGCATTGCAAAGCAGTTGCTGCATTTCCCTAATTGGGAGAGAAATTGCCTGTGGTACTCTGAAATCAAGGGTTATAATCAATTACAGGATGCTCACTCTTCTTTAGTGATGGAGTCTTCCCTCCTTGTGATTATTCATGTCAAAACTAGTTCCTTTGCTAAGCCAGTACCAAACTATGGGGATGTATTTGATTACCATTTTTCTTACATTCTGACTTCCATCCCTTGACAGATCGAATGGTCACAGTTGGTCGCTGGGCAAAGGGAATGAGCGCAGACTATGAAGAAATTTTGGATGTGCCTAAGCCACAGGAACCCAAGACAAAGATACCTAAAGTTGTTAATTTTTGATAATGATTAGTACTATCATTAGTTACCACCTCATTGTTAAACATTCTGAACCGGGCATACTTCACAAATTGGAGCTGGGCTCCCTTGGACACCTGTTTTGTAGATACCAGTATGATCGGGGAATGGTCACATCGTTTCCTGAGTGCTGTCATTAAAGAGTGCTTCTGTCACCGGAGAAAATCACTGAAGAAAAGTAGAAGATGTTAAAATTGGATTCTCTAAAAGAACATTTTTAACAGACAGAACTTAGGTATAACTAAGTGGTTATATGCCTGATTGTAACAATCATCTTTCTTTTAAAAACCATTCATTAATGTGAACCACCCCTAAGCAAAGTATAACTGCTTTGCATTTGGAATTGAATTTTTGGTTATATTGTTTTCTTGGTTCAAAATAACAATTTATTATTAGGAATTTATAAGTTGCCACAAAATCTACTGTATTTTTAAAATATTTAATAAAATTTCATTTGCTATTTACTTATTTTTCTGAATACCTTGTTCTGGATTGTACTAGCCATTGTCTGTTTATATCTGTGTACAAACCCTTTGGAAACACCATCTTTTGTGAATTCTAGATGAGATTAATTTTGGTTAATGTTTGTTTTAGTTTTGACATAAAGAAGTACAAATTATTGAGGTAAAATAGAAGAATACCTTAACAGCAGCTCTTTGCTCTTGATTTTCAAGAGACATTCTAGCCAAAATTTAGTTTGGGGTATTCAACCAGAATGATGGCACTTAACAGAGTGTATTTTACACTTAATAGCATTTTGTTCACATGTCTTAGATGCGTCCAGGTGAGATGCAAGTATCACCATAATAGAACACTAATCAGAGACCCATTAGCTTCTTTGATTTGATGAATACATGCATACTTAATACATATATTTCACAAGGCTTAGGGCTCCCATTGTACTGTTTAATGGAATGACTCTAGTGGATTATGTGTTTCATTTGGAATTTTACCTGATTGGATACATTTGTAACTAAAGGAAACAGCTGTGATTAGTCACTGATGCTTCAAAAGCAAAATATTTACCAAATAAAAGAAACACTTTTCTCTGTTTTAATGTCTGCATAGCTCAACAGTTCTAGTCCTAATAGGAGCTGTTCTTTTATTTTTGGTAAGAGAGGAAAACACGACAGAATACAGCTCAGCATCCCAGAACTTAAGGAAATGAGTGCCATTTAAAAGAAGTCACACAAGTCGTGCAGCTGGAAGAGGACAGCAGTGCTGCCTTAGATATTTAGTCCAAACATGCCCAGATTTATTTCACCCGTCCTATCAGGTGCCAAAGACTCTGGAGAGTCAAAAGCTTCCTCAAGTGAGGAAGGCAAACATTAAATTTATTTATGCACTATATATTTCTCCAGTCCCTGCTATGTTCCTGGTACTCTTTTAGGCACTTGGGATTGTGGCCATGATAAAGACAAACAAGGCCACGTGCATTCTAATGGGGCTTTAGGATGGAGAGGAGACTTGGGGGGAAAATACATATCAGAGATATCAGTATATCAGAAAAATATCAGAGATATTTGATTACATTTTAAAAGTGTTCTGTTGAATCCCCTAGGACTTAGTCATTAGCATTCTTCCTTCAGTCCTCTGGAAATGCCACCTCTTAAAAGCTTATCTTTCACTTTTCCGTGGCTGAGTCCTAAATCCATCTGCCCTAATATCTCTGGTTTCAGTTCCTCCTTGGATGGTGTTTCACCAACACCTCAAGTCATTACTGCAGTAATTTTCAAAAACATATACATTCAAAGACCTATGATAGGCAGAAGTTAGAAACGTCTCAACTACAGGAGAGGTTTGAAATTTTACCATACAAAATTTTAGTGTAATGTAACCCCTTTATTGCTGATTTTTTTCACCTTTTTTAAAATCTAAAAATATCCTCAAAAATCTATCTACTTCTGAAATGTATAGTCATTTAAACCTGCATATCCACTCTTATTGTACATCAGTGTTAATTCATAAAATTGGAGCACAGTCTGAAATTCATGTAAATGAGAGCCTGCTGACATGGAATAAAAATAATTAACAACCAGACCTAGGCTGGGTGAATGGATGGGCTTGGGGGGGTGGGTAGGCAGGGGAAGCATGGGTAGAGATTTGACATACAGACGGCAGGATGTACCTAACCTCTTAAGTGCTCTAAACTCTAATGGAGAAGTCCTTCAACTTTTAAATGTTGTCCCGTAGAGGAGGCCAACTTGCCATGTGCTGGTTTGTCTTATGAGTTAAGACAAATCACAGAGTAGAATAATGAATGTTGAAGTCTGGGGAATAAAGTGCTAATGTAATGGTTATGAAAGAAGAGCTCGGTTAATACTCTCTGTGATAACACATTTTGCAGGTACTTTTTCTGTGTATATATAGCAATAGATACTAAATTGGTCAGCCACCTTGAATATATATGAAATGACACTAGTAAAGTAGTTCCTATTACCAAAATTGATTGGATTCCATTATGTTTTAATGTCTTCCTAATTTAAAGCTCTAAAACATGTAATACATCTTGTCAGATGCTCCTGACATACGGATATCTGCCATATATGGAACCATCCCACACTATTAATCAACTGGCCAACTTACCATTTTTGATTTTATAAAATTTTAAACAGAACACATGTTTCACCTCTCTAGCCTAAAAATGCTTATGATCATTTAAAACCATATTTGTACCATTTTATAGTCCATACAAAATTGCATATGGGCCATTTCCACTGCCTGTGCCCCTGAAAGGGAGGAGAGCCACAGATGATCTAAAACAGTGTTAAAGCTCTTTTAATAATACGATCCAAATCACTGGTATTTGACCTGAGATGAATTTTATTTTTTAACCCCTTCCTAACTGTGTTTTGCCTAGGCCAATATTAAATTATTTTGTGGCCCAAAACCTTGCCAAGTGTCAAGGCTAAGGGTACTTGGAATTAAAGGTGGGAAATAAAATTACAGGTAATTGGAAGTTTACCATTTAAAATCTGTTTATCAACCCATCATCAGTAGCATTCTCTATGAATTGTATACAAGAGGCTGCTGTCTCTTCGATGGATTTTGACCAGCCACCAAGATTTCCAGCAAAGTAAGGAGAGATGCTAGCAGAAATCTGGTTGAAGTAGGACACCTGTTTCAAAAAGGGAATACATTACTTCAGTTGTTTATTGACCTAGAGCTTTTTTAAAATTTTTTTTTAAGATTTTATTTATTTATTTGACAGAGCGCACAAGCAGGGGGAGCGGCAGGCAGAAGCAGAAGGAAAAGCAGGCTCTCTGTTGAACAAGGAGCCCGATGCGGGGCTCTATCGCAGGACCCTGGGATCATGACCTGAGCGGAAGGCAGACGCTTAACCAACTGAGCCACCCAGTCGCCCCAAGAGCTTTTTCAAGCAGGGATCTGAATCTTGTTGGTATAGGGGAGGCTATGACTCTGATCTTCTGGGGATGTTCTAGAATGGAACTAAAAGGATGACCTTAGGATTCCCCTGATGTGGACACACATTACAGAATTACAGTTAATTAGGAAATGTGGGTAAAAGATTTCTCTGTATCTGTCGGAGCAAATTAATGTGCAGATGTTTCATCAAACTTACGGTACAGGAACTGCTGTCAATAGCACGGATGAGAAATCCAGCACAGATGATTTCACTTCTGATGTACCGTGCAGAAGGTGGGACTGATGGTAGAATAACCGATTTCATTGCCACCGTGTACGTGTCACTGAAAAATAAAGGACATTCTCTAAGTTATTGTGAGAAATGAAGAAGAGTGGTTAGAAAATAAATTCCTGCAGTTAATTCAACTTATTTATACAAGTAGAAGTGAAACTATGGAGACCCCTCTTCTAGATGAGTGTTCCACATTCGAATACAGTCTCTATGGCCACATTCAAGTGTAGCGAAGGACAGTAAGGGCCACAGGTGTTTTCTGCCTAAGAATTACTTACCCTTTGCATAACTCCACAAAGCTGGAGTCAAGTTCTAAGCATGTTTTGTTATGCCCCAATGGGTTGTAAGGACCACTGTTAAAAGGTCCCTCCAGACCTTTTTATAAATAAATAACACTGATGTAAGCAAATGCATATACAGATTTTTGCATAAATACAATCATTTTATAAGTATTGGCCTATAATTTGATTTTTCACCTACCAGTAAATCTTTGGAGGTATTTCTCTATCAGTGCCTCTATAGCTACTTCATCCTTTTTAATGATGGCACAGTACTCTGCAGTATGGCTCTACCATAATTTGTAAGATGGACCTTCAGTTTATTTCTCTACCTTTTGCCAAATAAATAAATAAATACAGTGATACTACACTGAACGTCCATGTGCATTCATATTCACACATGTGTTTGATTTATTTCCGCAGGCCAGCTTTGACATTGGAAATGATGCTGGCCAGTTCCGGGGATAGCCCTTAAATGTCCCAGAAGCTTCTATTCCTTATTTCTTTGAATACATAGGACACTTGCCCTTAGAACATAGACACCGTGCCCCGAGAAGTCCAATGCCCACAGAGAAGTCAAGGACAAGCGCTCTAGTCAACAACCATAGCTGGCAGCCAGACATTTTGGATGTCTAGCATAATTGCGCCTTTGTAAATTCTAAACTTATTCTTGATGTTTTATTTGGCACACACTGCATTTTTACTGATGATGGAATATTCTAAAGGTTTGCTAACTATCAGTGTTACGTGTGCATACAGCAAAAGGAAAAGGAACTGCTTCAGGAATCGTGCACGGTGCTCTGCACACAGGTGGCATTTAATAGATGACTTCTTAGAATAACTAAAGGTCCAACTAGCAAAAATTCAGATGAACATCATTCAAGACCAGAAATGCCAATATTGCCTTCCTTATTTTCATATCAACTTTTTCATTCTGCTCTCTTCTACAAAACATTATTATAACAATTGCTTATACTCACCCATCTTTGAGAGGCCTTCTTCGTGATACAAGTACTACCAAGTCTTTGGGTTTGTCACCATTCACTACAGGACAAGTGATATAATATATCTGATCAGCTTCACTCACCCAGTCTATGACTTCGCAGGACCTGTGTAAATACAACACAGCAAAACAAAGGCGACACTTTTCTACCTGCTTGAATAAGGGATTCACTTCTTCTGTTTGATGTCTACAGTCACTCATCTGCTCACATAACCATCCTGCCAGCATTATTTCTCAAAGTCTGTCTCTAGAAAGCTGTTTGGTCAGCAGGAATAATTATGCATGTGATGGAGAGAATGGTGGCCGTATGATTCTAAGGTCACTGCCCTCAACACTTCGGAGAAAGGCATTTATAGTTGTTTTCCACAAAATTATTTCTCTCTAGGATCAGGTAATAATATCTGAAGAGTAGTGAATTATATGGACAGTCATCAAAGAAGGACTCTTAGATAACAGAATATGGTATACTGGAAAGAGCACCAAGTTCAGAGTCAAACAACTTGTCTCTGAATCCTAAATGTACACTTCATATCTACGTTATGTTAGGCAAATCACTTTATTATTATTTTTTTCATTTGTAAAATGTAGATGATAATACCTATGGGGTTATTGTGAGGATTAAATGAAAACACCTGGCACAGTACCTGAATCAAGGTAGGTACACAAGACAAGTAAGTTGAATTAGAATTCATTCATTCATTCCTCCATTCATTCAAGTTCAGTTTGGCTGGAAAGTCAGGTGACATAGAAAACAGTGCGAGAAACATTTGAAATGAATTAACACCAAAGCTTAGCCATTGTTCCTGCTTAAAGCTTTGTACTTATAGAGTATCTACAAATATTGATGCAAGAAAACTGTGAAGTATTTCCTCTTCTTTCAGAGCGTTTTATTATGATAGAATTAACCATGATGTATTATTTTGGCATCTATGCAAATGTAACACATGACCCCAGAGGTGTTTCACTTTAGCGGTATTAAATTGTCTATTACAGGATATTAATCATTATCAAGTATAGCCATCTTAAAGATGAGCCTCTACCTCATCAAGATTAGGAAGTAAATGGTAATGCTTAATATAATAGGAAGCCCATCTCACCAATCCCTCTCTTTCAGCAAGATGCCCAGTGAGGGCCCAGGTGCTATGGCCCCGGAGCTGGGACTCCTCGGAGGAGAAGGGGGCGTGGCCCGAGTGCAATCAGACCCAGTCGGTGTAGGTGACAAGGCGCACATCCTTGTACTCCAGGAAAGGAGTGAGAGTGGCAGAGATTGGATTGAGATGCAGGAGACAGGAAGTAACAGCAGGAAGAGACGTAGGCTGACAGGAGTGGGCCCTGATCAGACAGGGCAGGAAGGAATGCCTTGTACTTCAGTACTCACACAGCTGCCCTTCTGCTTCTCACCAGGGAATGCTACTTCACAGGAAAAGGAGAAACCGCTCATTAAATACCAAGAGTGGGAGGTGGGAAGGACAATTAGATAAACACTTCCTCAAGAGCAATGAAACTGTGTATTAAAGTACAAGGGTGTGGAGTTCAGAGCCTGATGGATCTGGGTTCCAATTCAGATTGGGTTGCTTAGGAAAGCAATCTTGGCAAGCCTCAGAACCTCTCTCTTGTTAAGTGGGAATAATACCAAGGGTGGAGTTGTTGGTAGGATTACAACAGATATGGGTAAAGCATGTCAACTCAAGAGAAATGATAAATAAATGATTCAAATAATTTTTGTTTTGTGTCTCTCAATAACACTTGATGGTTTTCAGTGCACAGCAAGTTTTAAAACATACTCTTTATTTAATAAACAATGGGTCACATGTTGGGCAGTGGAGATGAATTGCAATATGGAGGCCACCCTTTACATGATGTCATTTACATGACATTATTTAAGAAAATATTTTAAATGTATTCTTACACATAATGGGGGTCCCACAAAGGTCTCTTGGTAAAGTCAGATAAGAGATGATAAGTCACGTGTGCTGGTCTTTCCACATGCTTTTCAACCCAAACAGATAAAATGTCATGCTCTTCCAGGGTATATATTTTTATCTAAAAGATAATAAAAAAAAATTACAAGACAAAAATGGGTGTTTTGTCTTTAAAAACTACACACAGAGTCTTAGGTTGATTGTACTCGCTAAGGCATCTTGGCACCTGGATAACAATGAAGCCAGACAATGACAATTTCACTTCAAACACTTGGATGTCTAGAGCTGAGACCAGGATGTTATCCTCTGTGCCTTCTAAATAATATGGGACTTGAGTTATTTAATTATTGTGCAACAGTTTTCTCTTGAAAAATAAAAAAAAAAAAAGTAAGCCTTTCTCTTTTTATGTCTTTGTGATGTTTCCCTGCCTCTACCCAGCAACAACAGAAAATAGCATTAAGCTGATAGGCAAGTCAGTGCCTCATCTCCCTCCAAAGAACTTGGACACTTTCTTAGGATGTCAGGCATGCCAAGGGAACCCAGGAAGCAAGCCACCACCTCTAGAACCAACTCAACCTTTCAGAAGGGCTGCTGAAGTGCCATGTTTCTTCAGCATGAAGCATTCTTTCATTTGTGAATCACAAGGCCCATCCTCCTGAGAGGCCAATTCCTGGGTTTCTAATGTTATTCCTTACATAAGAGGACGCCTGTCTTGGGGAGCCATTTGACATATACTTAAACAATAACATATCCCCTGTTACCCCAAACTCTCCTGCTATAGCACTTTTGCTAATAATCAGAGATATGTGCTCAGCTAAGAGCACGTTTCTATCCTGCCCATTTTCTCCATCTCTTTCAGGGTGCTTTGAAGTTAGTGTTGAAATGTGCCATCTTATAATCATCCCCATGGCAACAAGCTGTGAGAAGACAAACAGAGGGTTAAGACTTCACTGCAGGAATCAAGCAGATGGACACGTCAGGCTGTGAGGGAGAAAACCTTTATTTAAACATAAACATCTTCAAGAAGAGAATGAAGAAATAAGAAATCAACTAAAGGCAGCTTAGTAAGAAAAGGAGTGGCTATTTGTTTAGACCATTTTAGCTCCCCAACTGACCTTTGTGCTAATTAAAGCCACCTTTAAATGAAGCCCACAAAGGAGGACAAATCCTGGGCTGTGGACATGTATCAAACAGAAAGCCATGAATGGGGCTCCCGTTGGTGGCTGAGACTCACCCCAGCACAGTCATGCCTAACTTCGCCCCCTGTCCAGCAGGAGTAAAAAGACGGTCCCTGGTGTAAATCCTGAAGGACGTCATCTTATCAAACTTGGCGGCCGTGTGGCCCTAAGTCAGGTTTCTGGGGCTCTGCAGTCTCAGAGGAGGCAAGGGCAGGTGGCCAGGGTGAATTCCTTACCTTCTGTCAGATTTAGGCCTTGGGGCAGCCACCGTCTACACTGATGGACTCAGGGCAGGGAGGGATGTAATACTGGGCTGAGGGCTCACTAAGGGTTGAAGTGTGTCTCCTCAAATTCGTATGTTAAAGTTCTCTGAGTACTTCAGAATGCGACCTTATTTGGAAAGAGGGTCATTGCAGATGTAATTAGTTAAGATGAGGTTAAACTGTAGGAGGACGGGCCCCTCATCCAATAATGACTGATGTTCTTACGAAAAGGGAAAATTTGGAGGCAGGCATGCACACTGGGAGTGCACCATATGAAGATGAAGGCAGAAATCAGGTGACACATTTACAAGCCAAGGTCCACCAAAGATGGCCAGCAAAGCAAAGCAGCAGCGGCGAGAGGAGAGGCCTGGAACGGATTCTTTCTCACTTCTTCAAAAGCAATCAGCCCCGCCAACACCTTGATCTCAGACTTCCCGCTTCCGTAAGCGCGGACAACACCTTTCTGTACTTTAAGCCACCGGTTTGTGGTACTGGTTACAACAACTCTAGGAAACTATCACAGCCCTTTCCCAGGAAGCTGCTCCCCAGGTTGTAGACACAGGCTTCCTGCTTCCTGAAGCCTCTGCAAACACCAAGCTGAGTAGCCGCCATTAACCTCTGCCCTCACAGAGCTCGCTAAACTTATCCGGCGCCGAGGACGTCATCGGCCGAGGGAATGGTATCTTGATCCTTCTCCCAGAGGTGAAGGCAGCAGAAAGTCCTTCTCATTGCTGTGCTCTGAGAATCAATGGCACCAGCGCGGACAAAGGCCGCGAGGAAGGGCGTCGGCTGGTGCTGATCTCTTTAACCCCCAGTATTTTAGAAAAGCCAACTTCTGCTTAGTGGAAAAAATTCTCCAAGACCAACTCTTCAGGAGAACATGTTCTCTTTCACGCGCAGAAGAAAACAGGTTAAATTCCATCTGTAGCCAACTCAAACGTTTTTTATCGTTTGATGCCTGGCAAATTTTATTCTATGAAATGAAGCTTAAAGTGAGTAAGCTTGAAATTGCTAACAGTTCATACTGATATTGTTTTTTCATTCTAATAAGATTCTGTTTAATGGATCTGGATATCTTATACAAACAGCCGAAGAAAAAAAGAGTCTCATTTTAGAATTTTATACTATCTGTTGTTTTCGAGACAACAGTATGGGAAGGAGGACAAAACCATTTTATACAAGGCCTGGGTGGGGAGGGGAGGCTACTCTTCCTTGGAGGTGCCTGGGGAATGACCCCCAGGGGCTGGGGGAAAGAGAACTGCACAGGTGGAGCTCTGGAACCGGCCCCTCCCCAGCTTCAGTGAGAATAGCGCCCTCTGGTCAGTTTCCTGTGCTGGGTTTTTTTTCCATGGAAAGGTTTTCAAGTGGTCCTTGCCGTTCTGGCTTTCATCATCATCACTCTGTCAGGTCAGTCTCCTACCCATGCCGATTCCTACCCTGAGGACTTGGCTGGAGCTGCTCACTGCCTGGATAGCCCCTTTCACCCTCCAGCATCTACATAGGCCATCTGCAAAGAGGAAAGAATCATCCCCTCTCCAAAGTTCTCTCTAAATAACTGTCTTGCTTTACTTTGAACTGCCAAAGAGCTGACCTTTATGATTTAAATACAATTGCTCATTTGTTCATAAACTACCTGAAAATCATTCTTCCACTGTTTCACGTATATGTGTGATGTCGCCAAAATAGTCTACTAGCTCCTTTAGGGCCAGGGTGCTCCTTGCATTACTACTATTATTAATTCCATCACTGTACACAGAAATGAAATATGAGTTAAAAGAATAAGTATTGCCCAATTTAATTACAAATACCAGAAATCTTAGACTTTTGCCATTTAACTAATTTGTATCAACAATAAGTACAGATTTTTAGTGGGAGGGTGGGCAGCAAAGCAAGGTTTCTTGAGCAATAGCCAAGTGATAGTACAAAGCTCCCCAGGAGGGAGGGGACCTGAGAGGGTTGCCCAACAATAACTATGGATTTTAAAACCTGAAATGAGTATGATTCGTAACAGATAGTTTAAAAATTATTCAATGAAAAGGTGACAGAAAAAATTAAGCTGTATTTTAAAATTAAAACAATATAAAAGCTTTAAAAAGTAGGAGAGAAGAGGATAGCCTGGAAAGGAAAAAAATTCAAGTTTTATCATAAATATAATCTAAAGAACTGGAGGGCTTCAAATTCAACAGAAATGGCATAAGAAGGTTGCTATAATTATACGGTATCTTCTAATAAGTATCCGTACAAAAATTAAGAATTAAATATTGATGGCTCGCCTTAGATACTAACAAATGCAGCATTTCTTTGTTTAGGTTTATTTTGGCCCCAAACTCCCAAAGAACTGAAGTTTTTATATATTATACGGCTTCACAAAACATGCTGTCTTCCTTCAGTCCAGACGCACGTTGCCCTTTCCGATGCTGCTTAGATGTCAGCAACGAAGCAAGAAGCAGATTTCATACTAGTAAAAAGAAAACAAAGTCTTGAAGCATCTTTGATGTGGGGTAAAGAGAAAAAGATCATTTTTATAACGTGAAACCTATGTTTCGGCATCACTGAATTAGGCATACGTGGAAAGATAAGTGGATCCAAAGAGCATAAAGGGAGATCTTGAAAGGACTCAGAAGTGAAGACAAAAACACGATAAAAGCCAACAACCCAGAACAAAACACTGGCAAGAGGTCAAAGTTGAAAAGAATCAGTAAAGTAGTATCAGAGTTTGCTTCAATTTTAGGGTAAATGAGCATGTCATTTATTGTCCAGACTGGGGCACGGAGGCATTATTAGTAATTATGATAAGACAACAGATTATGATGGACCAGTCACTAATTAGGATGGGACAACCAGGACTGTCCCAGGAAAAGCAGGACATATGATCACCCTACTGTAGAGGCTTCACTGATGAAAACCAGTACACACTGAACGTGAGCACAGAGCTGGCATGACTGAGCACCTCCTGCGTGCCTGGCCCTGCTCTGATCTGGGACTATCTCTGGTGGTGACCTTACAGTCTAGTTAGTGTGGGCATCAGCTTCCACGGCTCTCTTAATATACCTCCGAAATTGGATAAAATTAGAATCCAAATGATACATGTGTACTTAAGTTTGATGACCCGCAAAACAGCATAAAAGGTGCTAAGAGAGATACCAAGAAGTGAAGACAAGGCTTCTTTCTTAAGTGTTTGTCATCTAGGGTAGGGAAAAAGACCATGTGTAAAAAGTTAAACTACTATGTAAGACATTGACGTCAATTCAGTGTAGCTGTGGAAGCAATGTCACAAGACGGTGCAGAATTAATTGACAAATTAATTCTGAAAAAGTAATTGCTAAGGGGGTTCCTACAGGGGAAGTTCTTCAGTCAGGGGTGATAGGAGTGGCTTCCCGCAGAAGCATTTCGTCTCGGGCCTTGAAAACCAGTTAGGACTGGGGTAGATGGAGAGGAGAAGGAGAGACGAGTATTCCGGAATATGAGAACTAAGTTCAGAGGTAGGAATGTGTGGGGTTCACTGAAGGACCCCAAATCCACCAGCATGGAGGACTAGAGACAGCGCTGGAAAGATATCTGGCTCTTAGAAATAGTTTCCTAGAAAGGTTTTTTACCTTCTTTTTTTTTTTTTTTAAAGATTTTATTCATTTATTTGAGAGAGAATGAGATAGAGAGAGCATGAGGGGGGGAGGGTCAGTGGGAGAAGCAGACTCCCTGCTGAGCAGGGAGCCCGATGCGGGACTCGATCCCGGGATCCCAGGATCATGACCTGAGCTGAAGGCAGTCGCTTAACCAACTGAGCCACCCAGGCGCCCGGTTTTTTACCTTCTTAAAAGCAGCAGCAGAAGCAGTAGAACCGCCCCCGCCCCCCACCACGACCACTTTCATTTGTGCCGGACAGCAGGTTGGGCATGTACCTGGATGCCTCCTACCTTTTCCACCGCACTGGTAACCTCCCAGCCACTTCTGGCTGCCAGATTGTTGAGAGCCTCCACATTGGCGTTACTCAGGGCTACCTAAAATACAAATATTGTAAAAGCCGAGGGTTCAACCCACAGATATGGGATCAAATAGTTTCTTTTCTTTCTTTTTTTTTTTTTTTTAAGATCTTACTTATGTATTTGTCAGAGAGAGAGCACAAGCAGGGGGAGCAGCAGAAGGAGGGAGAAGCAGCAGAGGGAGAGGGAGAAGCAGGCTCCCCGCTGAGCAGGGAGCCCAATGCGGGGCTCAATCCCAGAACCCTGGGATCATGACCTGAGCCGAAGGCAGAAGCTTAACCGACTGAGCCACCCAGGCATCCTGTGATCAAATGGTTTCTGCTTCGAAAATGGGAAATGTTAGAGCCAAATTGGTAATGCTGAGCTTAGAACTAAGCTATAGGTAACATAATTTCTGTCTCCAACTCTTAATTCAGAATTCAGACAAAATAACACGAGGCCTGCATGCTTTGCAAATTAGTGGCATTTTTTTTTTTAAAGATTTATTTATTTATTTGAGAGAGTGAGAGCGAGAATGAGAGAGAGCACATGAGAGGGGATAGGGTCAGAGGACGAAGCAGACTCCCTGCCGAGCAGGGAGCCCGATGTGGGACTCGATCCGGGGACTCCAGGATCATGACCTGAGCCGAAGGCAGTTGCTTAACCAACTGAGCCACCCAGGCGCCCCGCAAATTAGTGGCATATTAAGTGGTGTCCTGAGCAAAGACAACATTATATGACTTGGAATGAACATGTAATCAGAAAACTTGGATTTCCCTTTCTATCTTATGGTCAAAAACTTTAAAACGCCTAATACTTTATTGTTGTGTCATAAAAATGCAAGCTGGAAGGCATGTCATTCAGCACAAATCACTGAGACACCAGATCCCAGTGTCCTGCTGCCTGAATGTATCCGATGGCAGATCCTTCCAAGTCAGTTTTGGAAACTGCATGCAATTCAAACAAGGCAGGGAAGCAACTAGTTGGTAACCGCTTACTGACTGGTTTTGCTTCGTTTGAGATGTCTGGTTGATATAATTCACCTTTTCATCTAACCTGTGCAGGCACAACCTGAATCAGTTAAACATGGGAACTGTCATTTTTTTTTTTTTAAAGATTTTATTTATTTATTTGACAGAGAGATAGAGAGAGAGCACAAGTAGGCAGAGAGGCAGGCAGAGGGAGAGGGAGAAGCAGACTCTCCACCGAGCAGGGAGCCCGACGTGGGGCTCGATCCCAGGACCCTGGGATCATGACCTGAGCCGAAGGCAGCCGCTTAACCGACTGAGCCACCCAGGTGCCCCGGGAACTGTCATTTTTATAATGATGTCATTTTCCATTTTTACAATGATGTGATTTTTACATGAAGAGCTCCAAATAATAAAACCATTACCTGGTTGCTTATGTCCCAGTGTACACAAAGTGGAACCTCTTCTTTGTGGGAAATAACGTATTTTCTGGAGAAAAATTAAAATGTTAAGCAACATGTTATAATAATGTTTAATAATAAATAAGTTTGCTTTCCAGCATTTAGCACACAACAGTAACCATGACACTTTCTTGAACTGAAATCAGCAGTTTTAAAAGTTGCTTTTTTTAGTAACAGAACAATCAGGAAGAACAATTTCTGTCACATTTAGCCTCCAGCCAGGAAACATCAGACCTTCTCATTTTACATTATGTGGGAACATAGACCCAGAGAGGAGCCCTTTGTTATATAATTTGTTAGATAAGAGAAGATAGCTTAAAATCCTTACACCCACATCCTTACCTGCCTAGGCGAATTCTCTTGCGGGCAATAGCTCCATGATACCGTCTAAAATCGTCCTTTAATAAAAAACAAAGTAAAATCAATAAATTTCTAATATTTTGGTGCTACAATCCTTAAGTCTCTCTCGCCTAACTCAGTTGAAAGGGCTAGCTGGGACGCACACAGTTTCTCTGTGTGAACCGTCCTCATCACCCACAAAGGGCAGGTGCATGGATAAAAAAACAACCTTTACAGCCCTGTTCTTTCCTTTTTTAAAGCAGCAATTGCTATCATTTCTGTTCCCAGAATTATACATGTATCTCACTGTAGAGTTTGTAGAAAAGGTGAGAGTTGGCACTAAGGCACCTCTCAGATGAAGGGAAGATATAGTTCACGCGGAGCAGCAGAGAGGGCTGGACGTAAAGAAGTGGGAGAAGAGAGTCAGAAGTACGCCGGGGAGGATGATGTGCTTCCCACAGCAGCACGTAGCCGAGCAGAGGTGAGGTCTCCAGGGCCTCTGTCATTCCAACAAATGATTGGAGTGACTTGGGGGAAAAAAAACCAAGGAAGAAAGAAAAGAAAAACTCCATTTTACTTTGTGATGTAGAAAAGAAAAAAAATCCAAAGAGGAATAGCTTTGGAAGTTGTTACTGGGGTGAGGAGATTCTGGGTGGAGCTCTGTACCCACCACTTCCCCCCAAGAAGTGATCTGATTACTGAAACTCACGTGCTAATAACTGACCTTTGACATGGGTTTGATTCTGGGAAATGTGACCAGGTCTTCCTTATCATCGACAGCATTATAAACGAGAAAAGCACTGTTGATGTGACGGCCTTGGCCCTTAGACCACTCCTGACAGTCAAAGGCTTCCACGCGCACTCCCACTTCCACACTGCAGAGGGCAACACACAGGGCAGTGGGCGGAGAACCCGAGCGAGCCAGGCCTCCTCTGCCCACCGAGGCCACTGCGGCCACCGCTGGGGCGCCCACCACCATCGCTACCACTCTCCAAGCGAGAAAAATAACGAGGGCCCTGGGCTGTCTCTCTGTTGTTGCAAAACTATGCAACTGCTAAAATCCACTTCATCAGGCCGATGGATCTGATGTCCTAGGTCCTGGAAGTATTTCTGCTTTACTTTCCCACCATCAAGTGGGAAAAAGGCCAGTTAGGACTTTATATACATTCATGAGCATATTTTGGTAATGGGGCGTCAGTGGGGTGGGGGGAGTTAATTGTACCACAGTCAAGTTTTCTCCCCTAAAAACAACTGTTCTATATTAAAAAGCATCAGACACTAAGATTGGATAGGAAACCTAGATACTCTTTTTCACATTTTAAAAGAAATAATATGATATTAAATCTTTTCATTGTGTATCAAGAATAATAAAAATAACTGGGAAGTCATTTGGACTTCTTGGTGATAAATAACAGGTCCACTATGAGTCAGTTGACCATGAAGTCGCTGGGACTCTTTCGAGAGTGAAAGGAAGAGTTAATAACCGTGACAGGGACACACCAAGACCTTACTGGGCCAACTGGGGGTCACCCTTATTAAGAGACAAAAACCAGGGGCACCTGGGTGGCTCAGTCGTTAAGCGTCTGCCTTCGGCTCGGGTCATGATCCCAGGTCCTGGGATCAAGTCCCGCATTGGGCTCCCTGCTCAGCGGGAAGCCTGCTTCTCCCTCTCCCACTCCCCCTGCTTGTGTTCCCTCTCTCACTG